GAAACATTTAGGTCTACCAGAGAGGGAAGCTTGAAAATTAGGGAGGGAGAATGGGGAATCTGTGGAGGGAAGTAAAAATGAAGCCCGGCTGAAATTAACAAGGAAAACAATGTGGTTAAGTTATAGGGAATTATACAGACGGAACAGTAATCCGTCTGTAGAGATACAATTATACAAACGGATAAAAATTATCCGTTGGAATAGATATAGTTTATACAAACGGATAAGTGCTATATAGTTTGTGTAAACTAGGTCTATACCAACGAATATATTTTTTTGTTGGTATAGACCTGTGTATACTAACGGCTTAGGTTTTCCGTTGGTATAGATGATTTATACAAATGGATTTTTTGTCCGTTGGTATATGGCATTTTGTTTGTAGTGTATGTAGAGACGTTCGAGAAATTCATGGATGAAAAAGGAAATTTAAAGGAAGATTTAGTGAATGATGTGCTTAGAATGTTAAATCTATATGAGGTTGCAACTCTTCGCATGCATGGAGGAGATATCTTGGCTGAAGCCATTGCTTTCACTACCTCACACCTTGAATCAATGATAGCAAAAGTAAGCCCTTTGCTTGCAAAACAAATAGCTCATGCCTTGAACTGCCCCTTCTGGAAAGGCGTACCAAGAATAGAAGCAAGGCATTACATCTCTTTGTAATCAAGAGATGAGCATTTCATCTACTCTAGTGCAACATCACTTAAATTTGCAAAGATAGATCTCAACATGCTACAAGCATGCCACCTAAAGGAGCTAAGTTGCATTATGGAGTAAGTTTTACCTTCTTTTTTTTTTTATGCAATAAATAAACTTCCAATGGTGGAGACATATTATCTTAGGCTTTTGAATTTGGCTTGGTATTTTAGGTGGAGGAAAATTTTGGATTTTTATACAACAAAGATGCTTTATGCAAGGGATAGAGCACTGGAGTGCTACTTTTGGATAATGGGAGTTTACTTTGAGCTTAAATACTCCTTAGGAAGGATCTTTTTGACCAAAGTACTAATGTTGACATCCATTCTAGATGATACTTTGGATGATACTTATGATAACTATGGGACAATTGAAGAGCTTGATCTCTTGACCAAGTGTATTAAAAGGTTTTATTCTGAACTTTAACAACTAATTTAGTCAAATTATTAGAATATATTCACATATTTCAAAAATGGAATTCATATTTTTGATCCTTGACTTTTAGGTGGGACATTGATGTCATAAATCATCTTCTAGAATACATGAAATTAGTTTATTAGGCATTTTCAAACATTTATGGTGAAATGGAAGCAGAGGTTACAAAAGAAGGAAGATCATATGCTATGGATTATGTGAAAGAGTCCGTAAGTAACTAATTGATATGTGATTGGATTAATTTATGTTATGGGGACTTTGGATTCTTTGTTAATTTCATGTGTAAATTAATTTCATGAATAGATGAGTCGATTAATGAAAGCTTACTTTGTTGAAGTCAAGTGGAGCCAAGAAGGCTACCTTCCACCTGTAGAGGAGTATATGCAGACAGCCCTCATATCTTGTGCATATCTAATGTTCATAACAAATTCCTTTGTTGGCATGGAGGAAGTTGCAACCAAGGAAGCCTTTGATTGGATCTTTAACAACCCTAAAATACTTAAAGCTTACGCAATTATCTATAGACTAATGGATGATATGTTGTCTCGCATGAGCAATGCTTTGCCTAAGTTTGTATACTTAATTTTTCTTGATTATTTTTATGTACTTCATCTTATATATCATTTGTCTATATGACTCTATATGACTTCACAGATTTATATTGACATGTGAAAATTTATGCAATTTGAGCAATCACAAGTCCATGTTACATTTGCTACTGAATGCTATATGAAGCAATATGGTGTTTCAAAGGAAGAGATATTGGAAGTGTTTTGAGAAGAAATTGGCAATGCATGGAAAGATGTCAATGAAGAGTTCATGAAACCAATAGCTCTTCCTATGCCTCTCTTGACTCGTGTTCTCAACTTTGCTTGGGTCATGGATGTCATATACAAGGACATTGATGGCTATACAAACTCTCACATTATAAAGGACCAAATTGCTTTGCTAATTCTGAATTCTAATCTCATATGATGGAGTGTTGATCCCCTTAACGCCTTTGGAATTGAAGTAAAATTCATGGTTGTTTGCCCACCTTAAAAAAGTTGCTTTAGTTTTGTTCTTGTCTTTAAATAAAAGATATACATCCTTAACTAGCTGTCCTAGTAGTAACTGTAATCCAAATACATGGCTAAGACCATGACTCGAATCTTCTTGTAGTGATTCCTCCATCCCCAATTTCCTATTTGTACAAAATATAGAAGATCTTATAATCATAATTTCTTAAATAATATTTTATTTATGTGGGTTACATGCAAAATGAAGTATTGTTTCATCAGTTTTAATCCATTTGCTAACTTCTTAGTGAGAATATATACTTTAGTATATTATTTTAGCTTTGATTTTATTGTTGTTTGCATGTATAAAATATGATTTTCAATAGATTTTACATAATTTTCTTTATGTAGAAAAAAACTTGAATGCATAATAATAGAAGTTTTTGGACTTAATTTAATATCTTTTCAAAGTTGAGGGATTGAATTGCTGGAAGAAAAGTTGCTTTCAAGGACCTAAATGAATGAATTAGAAGTTTAGGATCAAATACTTATTATATATGTAGAAGATGAAGAACCAGATATGCAATTTTACCATTAAAGAAAGTGCAAAAAGTTCAAATACTAGACATGGGTTCGGTGTGGACACCTCAGTTATGGTGTCAACACTATGTTTTAAGCCTTTGGAAATTTGGTGTACAATGAAATAAAGAAGCGCCGAGACTTATAGGTTGGCGTCGACCTAACTTTCAGCTCTAAGATTTGCGTTTTGGTCATACATCTTATTTCTTTTCTAATATTTATTTTAAAATTTTATAAATTACCATTCAAAACCTGAATTGAGAGCTATTGAAAACTAAGAGAAAGATAGCAACAAAAAACTCAATATCAATAAGGGATTAAGCTTTTATAGCATTAAACTTATTTTACTTATTCTTAAATTTTCTTTATCATTTCAAATAGTCTTACATTTTTCATGGAATATTTTGTTTTCTTTTCTTTAATTATGAACTAATTTAGCAATTTAAGCTTAGGATGTAATTTAGTCGATTTGATATAGAATTTCATGACTCTATACTACCAAGATTTATTATATTATTTAGATTATTTATTAGTGTTTTTAATGGTTTTTAACAATTGGTAACTATTAAAATTGATTTGGAAAGTATAATTGAGACTAATAGGAGATTTTTTGCAATAACTTCTAATAATATATACTTTGAATTGAATGAAAATTAGAGATGAATCAACATAATTTGTGCAACATTAGCTAAAACTCAAAAGTTTTTATGTAAGTTAGGGAATTTCATAAAATATAATGCATCTTAATTTATTTAAATTCATATTGAGACGTGGTAGGTTAATAGATGATGATAAATTTGATATAACTTGAGAAAATATTAAATAGGCCAGGAAATTTCATTGTCACATAAATAGTAAAGATTTTAAAAATATATTAATTTAAATTCTATATTTTTTATGAAAAAATTATATATTAGTTGATTATAGTAAAGTGGAATGTTTTAAAATTTCAACTCTTCATGTCACTTAATTAAAGTTAATTTATTTTTTTAATTATTCAAATAAAATTATAATTAATTAATTTTAATGCTTAATTAGTTTATTGTCTCTATATAATGATAACGTTAATTCTCATAGTCGCATTACTTGAAGTAACTTGTATTCTTATTAGCGTAAAATTAGCTCATCACTTAGCTCCACATTCCATGATAATGTTTTTGAGGAATCCGTCTGCTTTCTGATGCAGATTCTTGGATTTGGGCCTCATTATTGCATGGATCAGATGAAGTAACTTGATGGAAGAAAAGAGATCAACGAGATTCAAGCCTGCAAATAATTCCATGATGTCCAGAACAAGCTTCATGAATTCTTTATGGTGTTGGACTTCCATCTAAGGCAGCCCTTGAAATGACAGCAAGTCCTGTAGAGTATAGCATCTCTTTAAGGTTGATGACACATCCTACCTCTGATGAGGTGCCTCTAATTAAATTCGATACCTCTTCTTCCATCACTGGTTTGAGTGATCGAACACGCATAGGACTTAGTAGCTCAGTTGTGCATATTTTTTTGAGCTGTCACCAATAGTCTCCATATAGTACAAGTCCAAGGTCCGACCGATTGTTAGTCAGTAACTTGAGAGAATGGAGACGGGCTTGCTAGTGAATATAAGGTCATGAGTCTTGAGCACATCTATAGCGGTTTCTCGTGAGAAGAAGACGAGGGTTAACACTTCTCTGAGTTGCAGGTGCATTACAGGGCCATATATCTTGACCAAGTCCCTCAGGCAGTGATGAGGGAGACTTCGGATGAAAGTATGTTTGGGTTGAGGGGAATGAAGGGGAGAGGAGAGTTTTTGATTGCCTATGAATGGTTGTTTGCGTGGTCCAGGAGGTAGCTTTGAGGTGTCTCCTGATTTTCTAGAAATCCTCAAGACCATGACTTGAGGAAGACAAAGGTGAGAAGGGAAGGGAACAAGGCAACATTTTTCCCTTTTAGAGGAAGGGATTGGGTTTTTACACCAATCACTAGAAGAGAACTGTAGCCGTAGCTTTGCCCTTTCTCTCTATTTATCCAAACAAATGATTTTTTTCTTTAAAATGCTTAAAGCCCCAGGCCAAATGATCTGAATGTGGCCTTTTTTAAGCACTACTGGCATATTATTGGGGATGAAATAACAAGTGCTAGCTGTCTTGGACGTTTCGAATCATGGAAATATGGCTCCAGATCGAAATCAACCTCACATATATAGTCCTGATCCCAAAAAGGTAAAACCCGACCACCATGAAAGCTTCTCTCCCAGTTGGTCTTTGCAATGTTGTCTCAAGCTCATCTCAAAGGTTCTCACCAATAGACTAAAACCAATTCTCCCTGGTATTATATATTTCTAAGAACCAAAATGAATTTGTTCCAGGGAGATTGATCTACAATGACATCATGATTGCCTTGGAAATGGTACATCGCTTGAAGAAAAAGAGGCAAGGAAATAAGGGTGAGATGGGCAATTAAGCTTGATCTCAGTAAAGCATTTGATAGAATTAAGTGGAACTTCCTTGAGGGAGTAATGACAGCTATGGGATTGCCTGAAAGATGGATTGCCAGAGTTATGCAATGTCATCAGTGGAATACAAAGTTTCAGTTAATGGCTTTTCTACAATGAGTTTCACACCCAAAACAGAGGTGTTAAAAAAGGTGACCCTCTCTTACCTTTATATATTTTTTTGTTCCTATAGACTAGGGATTGAACTCCACTAGACCACATAGCTAAGGTCTCTTTTCACTTTTTGTGCTTGTTGGTAACTGAAAAGAAAGAGAAATATTTGAAAAAAAGTTGTTACTTGTACGTATAAATCAATTAAAATGTATACAATTAATCCCATTGTAAAAATATTAATATAGTGTGCATGTTAATATTTTAATATAAATATTAATATTCTAACAATGTAAATATATTAATATAGTGTGAATGCTAATATTCTAACAGATTTGAAGCTCTTTTAGCTATGCTTGCAGATGCAGTCCAGGAAAAAAGGGCTCAATGGTGCATTACTGCGTAGAGGAGCTCCTAAAATTTCACATTTATTTTTTTGCAGATGATAGTATTCTTTTTGGATCAGCCACGGATACAGAAGCGGAGAGGATCCTTGGTATACTGAAGGTCTATGAGCAGGTCTCAGGACAACAAATTATTTTAAGCAAGTCCTCTATCTTTTTTAGCAGCGACCCAGGAAGCACTGCTAAAGGTTATATCAATATTAAATACTTCTAATACCATATCAGAAGACAAGTATCTTGGCATGCTTTTAATTATTGGAAGAAACAAGTCTATTTGTTTTTCTTTCAATATAGGATATATAGGATATGGTCAAAAATCAAAGGCCGGAAAAACAAGCTTCAATCTAAGGTAGGGAGAGAGGTGCTAATTAAAGTAGTGGTGCAAGCCATCTCTGCATATATTTTTGGTTGTCAGAGTTACAACTCTGATAATAGGAAAATCCATTGGTTCAGATGGGATCTTTGTCTGTCGACCGAAGAGTTTACAAGTTTTAGGCTTTCGTGATTTCCTGGCTGTTATCTTAGCTATGTTAGCAAAACAGGCATGGCGTCTAGTACAGAACTCAGTTACTCTCTTTTATCAGATTCTTAAAGCTAAATATTTTAAGGATAGGGATCTCTTAGGAGCTTCATTGGGAACAAATCCCTCAATGGTTTTGAGGGGTGTCTTGGTTAGCATGGGAGTCTTAAGGCTGGGATCTTGCTGGAGAATTGGCAATGGACTCAATGCCAGAGTATGGAGAGACAACTGGATGCCGAGTAATGATAATCCTTTTCCCATAGCAATGCCGAGAGAATGGGACCTAACAGAAAGCTCTCCGATTAACCTAGGAACCATTAAGTGGAATGATGGAGAAAGTTCACAGATTATTTTTGTAGGAAGATGCCAACAAAATTCTTCGAGTGCCTTCGAGTAAAAACAGCCTGCAAGACAGGCTAATCTCGACCAAAACAAGAAAGGGAAAACTCACGGTCAAATTTGCCTATCGCTTAGCTTGGGTTGTGATTTATGCAAATGAATTCTAGGAATACAATGAAATAATGAAGCCAGTGTGGAAGGCTATTTGGTTTTTGGATTTACAACCAAAAATCAAGCATTTTTTGCGGCGTCTAGTATGGGGAATTTTACCAACCAACGATGCTATTGCAGATGGAGGAGTGGGGATTGAAAAAGAATTGCAACATTTGTGGAAAAAGTCTAGAGTCATGCTTTCATGTTTTTTTCCAATGTAGATGGGATAGGGAGGTATGGAATGCATCTTGTCCTACATTTCCAATTGACTTGGTGAGGGGTGACTTCTTCTTAGATGATTTCCTTGATTGCTTTTTAATTAGCCTTAAGTACAAAGGAAAAGGAAGTTGGCAACAATCCCCTGTTGGTCAATTTGGAATAATAGGAACAACTGTATTTTTAAGAATGCTAGAGTTCAAATTAAATAGCAGCTTCAGAAAGATTAAAATTCTGATGGAAGAATAACAGAATATTGGGTATGAAGGCAGCGAAGTTCAAGGCTCAAACACAATACCTTTAGTTCCTGTGGCTGAATATATGGGAAGCTCCAGTTGGTGATGTTGCGAAGGTTAACACTGATGCAGCCTTGCCCAGCGACCAAAATCCATTTTTGCAAAGGGCATCTTCATTCAGTCGGACTGCTTTGCAAGGAGAGCTTATGGCAGTCGACTTTGCCACGCAACTTGGTAAAGAGTTTGGATGCAGGAAGATTATTCTTCTTGAATCAGATCATTTACAGGCTATTTCTATTGCTTGTTCTAAGGATGATTGCTTTCTTCATTTTGGTGCACTATATAGTTGCTGACAATAAGGCCAAGCAATTTGAGTTTGTTTCATGTTTCTTTCATCATGTTAAGCGAGACTATACCAGGCTAGCTCATGGTTTAGCAGAACTGATATCTCCTCCTCCGCACCAGGCCTCTTGGGCCACTTGGAAGGAGCACCCAATGGCAATGGTCAAGGTTTGAACTATGGCAGTGCATGCTATAATGTTATAATTCCCCATTCTCTATCCCATAATTATATCTGTTCAAAACAAAAAGAAAAAGAAAGATATCTACTCCGCCGTAGGAGGGAGTTTAGTTTGAAACACTCTCCAGTGCTTTATGCAAGAATGTCAGTCTCGGTAATGGCTGGCACAGCTTGGTACATACCGGTTTTGACACAAATTCTGTACATAAATACCCCAATACCGTATCATTTGCAATATTGGCCGAATCGGCCGAAAATGATCATATCAGATTGTATGTAAAATTTTGCCTGATCCAAATATTCAGCTTATTTTCAAGTAATTTTTTTGTTTTTAAAGAGAAATTTTTTGGCTCATCTGGTATCTTTAATTTAGAAAAACTCTTGTTGGAGTTTCATTGCCTTCTTCTCCATGTCCAAGATCCCCTACCTCAAGCCTAATGCTTAAGTCAAAATTGAACATTCTTTCACTTCTCGCAATCTAGTTCCGAACATTTTTGAAGGTCTTAGGCCTCTTATGGGAGATGTTCTATGGGTGTGAAGAGATGTTGTAGAAAAAGGTTTTTTTTTTTTTTTTTTTTTGAAAGGTAAACTTATTTTTATTAAATTTTGAGTACAAAGGATACTATAACCCATATATAGTAATTCGAGTAAATACATTGATACTTAATCAAAAACCCATTCAAAATTTAAGCTGGCTACCCTTATTGTATAAGACATACCTTGGTTGTAAACACCATTCCATAAAAGACATATACTTAAATCCATTCCATTTTTTGCACCAAAGATATGCTCTGGTCTGAACTAAATCAAATAATCTGTCCTCACTGACGACCTTGTTTCTAAAAACATGCTCATTCTTGCATAACCAAACCGACCACACTACTGCAAACCACACCAGCTTCCAGCAAGCCTTGACAATTTTTGGCCCCCTAACCCACTCATGCTGTAAATACACTTCTTGGCAATCATTACTCAATACAAAACTTAATCCCCACCATCTAAAAACACTTTTGCCATAAATTATAAGCTATCTCACATAAAATAAACAAGTGATTTTCCTCCTCTTGTTTTTTACCACAAAGCCCACATACAGAATGTTGCTCCTCTACAAGAATTCCTCTTTTAAACAAATTCATTCTTATAGGCAATTTTTTCAGTAAAAGCTGCCATGCAAATGTTGTTACCTTGGAGGGAGTCTTGGATTGCCAGAGCTTTGAGAATAGTCCTTGCGTGATATCTTTTTCACAATTTGCTAGTAAGGAATAAGCTGATCTTACTAAGTATTTGCTGCTTGTATCCCATTTCCAATTCCAATTATCTTTTCCACCTACAGTTGGTTCTAATCCATCAATCATATTTGAAAGGTCCCTTATCAATTCTTCTTCCCATGCATGTAACCTTCTCCTCCATTTCAAGTTCCACGACTAGATTCCATTTTTCCAAACACCCATGTCACTAACTCTTGCTTTTTGATCTGTGGACAGATTGAAAAGTCTTGGAAAAATATTAGCCAAACTGTCAGTACTTATCCAAACATTATTCCAAAATTCAATGTCATCCTCATTTCCCAAACCTATTGAAAAACCCTCAGTAAGCCACCCTGAGACAGAGCCAGTCTCCCTATCAATATTCTTAATGTCTCTCCACCATACATATCCTATTCTACTACCCTCGCACACCCATCTTATCCAATTTTCCCTTGATCCTCCATATTTCTCCCTCAAAACCCTCTTCCATAACCCATTTTCATCACTTGCCAATCGTCCCCACCATTTGCCTAGCAAGGCTTTGTTGAAAGAAACTAAATCTTTTATTCCTAACCCTCCCATTTCTTTTCTTTTCTTTTACACACCTCTCTCCATTTAACCCATGGAATTTTTTTTCTCTCCTCACCCCCTCCCCAAAGAAAACCCCTTCTTAAACTG